AAATGTGCAGACTGAGAAGTGGAGAACCCCTTGTTGGTTTCAAGACGTGACCATTTCAATTTGGAAATGAAACTTTGAACTTTTGCTTCCATGTTATTCCAGAACATCCCAAGAAATGCTTGAGCATTTCAAGGATCCAGAAGAAACCCCAGGACAATGCCTGTTTTATTCTTTATATTAATTTTCTATATTAACCACCACCACCTGAACCCAATTTTTTTTTCCCCAGTGGAGAGCTTTCCTCTAAATTTTAAACAGTTTTCTCTTCGTCTGTGCTCTCAAGGTCCCTGGCTCGAGATGAGATGAATTATTACCCATCATATTGAGATGGAATCAAGCTGAAGAAGATGCCTAGAAATTTTACTGCAAGGTACAGAACAATCAGCAGGCATGCTGGATGTTGAATCAGAGCCTTCATCTTTAGGCTATCAAGAGAACCTGCAGGGAGTAAGTAATAATTTCTCTGTCTTTCTTTACTGCTCTTCCATCCATCCAGCAGATGAACAAAAGACTCAAGTGACTGCCTTACCCAATAAGATCCCGTCTGACACTAATTGCTGATTGGGCTGGGTTTTCATTCCTGGAACTGAGTGTTCAGCCTGAATTAAGTTACTGTAGACTTGGAATCTCTGCCTGAGTCTAGTAAGGTGCTTGCTTTACCCTGCCAAGTGGCAGTCAGCCCTGACACACACATTTACTTACTGGAAAAATACTGACTAGTATAGTGGCATTCTCTTTGCAATCCAATACCATAACAACAAGAAAACAGCTTTTATTACCCACCAAGGAGATTCTTCCAACGTATATATATATATTTTCTGAACAAGCGCATCTAAAAACATGACAGTTTGGCACCACATAAAAGCCTAAGGGGATTGAAGTCCCCAAAGCAAGAAGGGAAACAAACTGAACCACCTCAGCATTCAGAACTTATAGGGATAAGCAGATGGTTATAAAATGGCACAGTATGCTGTACTGCACAGCAAAATGAGTGCATCATTGTCCGTTTTGCCTTTATAGCAACATTTGCCAAAGCTGCTGATGTTAAAGAAGGGACATTTTAATCACCATTTGTTATGCTTGGCTTGTTTGCTTCTTTATTTAATTTCACCCTGCTCTTCGATTGAAGTCCTCAAAGTGGCACCCAAAGTTAATAAAATGCTATTCGAACATTAAAAGTCATGCACTTGAAATTAAATGAAGCCAGGTTAGCAGGAATAAGGCAGATATCCATTGATACTGTGACTTGCAGAATATCCTTCCTTCCTTCCTTCCTTCCTTCCTTCCTTCCTTCCTTCCTTCCTTCCTTCCTTCCTTCCTTCGCCATAATATTATGAAACTTGGTGTCCTTTTCAGTACATGAATAGTCTCATTATGAAAACGGTTGCACTTTACCCAGTAAGTGTGTTTAGGTGTTATAGTCAGGTAATAAAATCAGTTCTTAGGGTACACAAATAAAGGAATTCAAGGCTTATGTGCATCAGATTCCCCAGCAAAATCACTTGAAAATTCACATTTTTTTTCTTTCCTATGTACTCAATGATCATAGCAATAGCAAAGCACTTAGACTTATATACCGCTTCATAGTGCTTTACAGTCTTCTCTAAGCAGTTTACAGAGTTTACAGCTTATTGCCCCCAACAATCTGGGTCCTCATTTTACTGACCTTGGAAGGATGGAAGGCTGAGTCAATCTTGAGCCCATCAGGATCGAACGCCTGGAATGAGCAATGAGTTAGCCTGCAGTTCTGCATTGTAACCACTGGGCCACTATGGTTCTTCATATTAAACTAATGTAATTGCAACCCCCAAATGCCCATGGCATGTACATGGCTTTCTTCAAAATGAGAGATACATTTTGTGTTATATCTGTATATTTTTCCAACTTTAAAACAAGCCATTTCAACTTTAAAGTCGTACGTCATCACAAAGCCTGATACATTTGACAGGCCCAATAGTTCACCTTCTTTAGAGCCATTCATCTATATGTTTTGGCAAACAATAACATTAAAATGATGTGCTGCAAAGCATTATCTGAATGTTACTTGTGACAGATACTGGACTGACTATGTTATCCATATTAAACTTCTAATGTGAACTAAATTTCTGGTAAAGTGCTCCTCTGAGATCCAGTTAAAAATAGAATTGGAATGACACAAATTAACTTGTCCATTCAGCAATAGCAAGCCCTGTTAGCAATAAACCGACTTACCTTCAGAAACAGACTTATATAATGCAGCAAATACATGTTTGGTCGTGCAGTAGCTGCTGACTTTACAAACATTACTTATTTGAGCTCTGCTGAATATATTGAATTATATTGAACTCTTCAAATATGAGAAATCAAGGCACCAATGAAACCATTTCTTGAAAAAAAGTAAAATAAATATGGATGCTTTTCCAAACAATTCTTTTTTCCTTTTCTATTGGGAAGAATCTTCTGCTTCTCATTCTTATCCTCCAATAGCAATAGCACTTAGACTTATATACCACTTTACAATGCTTTACAGCCCTCTCTAAGCAATTTACAGAGTCAGCATATTGCCATCAACAATTTGGGTCTTCATTTTACCCACCTCGGAAGGTTGCAAGGCTGAGTCAACCTTGAACCTGGTGAGATTTGAACTGCCAAATTGCAGGCAGCCACCAGGCAGCAGAAGTAGCCTGCAGTACTGCACTCTAACCACTGCACCACCGTGGCCCAAAAAGATTTCTTCTTTGCCAAAAACTTGATTAACTATGGATTCACAGAAGCAAAGTTCTTATAAAATTCAAGAACTGCCTGGAGATCATAAAAGGATTCTTATAAAAGGTAGCTGCAGAGAATGTGTCTAGAATGGGGAATGATAACAAAATGGAAACACAAACCTTCTCATCATAATCTGAGTTTTGCAAAATGGAACAATCTCTCTGTGGTAGGTATAAATGTACAGCAAATACAAACACAATAGTAAATATTACTTTTAACTTATTTTGTCTGTCTCCATCACATGGAATCAACCTGGTAAATTCATTCAGATTCAAGACTGTATCACTGAAGTTAGTGAAGAATGTCTATTTATTTATAAAATTTATTAGCCGCTCATCTTACCACAGGGTAACATCCTCTTGGTTTTTTAAACCTAAATGTTCAAGCCCTTCATTGTGTGAGCAGCCATCAGGCTAAAATTGATCACAGAGTGATTCATTCATGAAACTGGAACCATAAAGGATTTCTCTACCTTCAAATCACATGTGTCACCTGAGCACAAAGCAAATTCAGCATGCGTCTATCTGCACTTGTAAGACCAGATGCCATTTCTAACAGCATTAAGGTCATCATGGGGGTCCTGGCATCCTGATGGATTCCTGACCACACAACTTCAGCGTAGATAATGAAATTCCTCCAAGACAAGAAGTTTAGGGTGGTTCACTGTCACACTAAAAATTACCCTGTCCAACTCATGTAACAAGAAACCAGCAGGACTGATGGTGCAATGACAGCATTCATACACTATCGGACTCAAACATCCAACAATTATCAAATGGTCAGATTGTGAACGAGATGGAATTCCTATAGACCAGAGTTCCACAACCTCTTCGGCTTTGTGGACTGGTGCAGGGGCAGGGAGAAGGGATGGTTCTGCATGAGTGGTGAGCTTGCGTAAATGGAGTGTGCGTACATAGGCTCGCCTTCTGCTCCCACAAGAGGGGGTGCGCACTTGCCTGCTAGTTCAGGTGGCCCGATTTTGAACAGCTCATGGTAGTGGGCCATAGCCTGGGGGTTTTGGACCCCTGCTATAGACTATGGTCACATCACCATTCTGCAGTTCTTTCCTGCTGTTTCATTAATCCAGCAGACAAACTGGGAGGGGTTAACTCTTCCCGTCCCCTATTAGCCAGGCTTCTGTAATACATGGCAGGTCAGTGTGCTTTCAACCAGGATTAAATCCTGGATAACAGAAGTTTTACCAAAAATGCTGTCATCAAAAAACAAGACCAACACTATTGATGGTTTCCTTGGTTGTGCTGCAGTTTGAAAGAAAAAGGGGGGGACTCCCTCCATCCCTCCTTTTCCTCAGACACTGACATCCCAAGTCATAAAGAATGAATTTGGTATGGAAATAAACTGGGAGACATACATTATGCCAGCCATAAAGTGCTGACATAACATATTCATGTTGCCCAGTTCCAGTTAATATTTTGTTATAGCATTTTATGTAAACTGAAGTTACTGCAGTCTTCTAAGACAGCCTTGAATATAATGCAATGCAGTAATCTAAATGAGAAGTCACTAGGCAATAAATTACTATAGCAAGCCTATCTCTATCCAAGTCAAGCCATAGCTGGTATACTTTCAGAGCTAATGAAAGGTGCATTGTCAGTGGTGAAATCTAAAATTTGTTACTACCAGTTCTGTGGGCATAGCTTGGTGGTAATGTGACTGGGTGGGCGTGGCCAATTGTTTTTTTTTTTACTTTTAAAACCACTTTGAAAAATGCTTTCAAAAGGCTCTGACAATCCCAGCTGAGTTGCCTGATCGGCAGAGGATTTTTTAAAAAGCCTCTGCCGATCAGGCAACTCAGCTTGGATCGTCAGAGGCATTTAAAAGAAAAAAAGGGTTTTTTTTTTTCTTTTAAAAGCCTTTGACAATCCCAGCTGAGCCCCGCGATCATCAGAGGCTTTTTTTTTTTTTTTACTTTTAAAAGCATTTTTTCGGCAGAAGAAGTTGTAGAAAAAATGCTTTTAAATTTTTTTTTAAAAGCCTCTGATGATTGTGCGGCTCAGCTGGGCATGGGGGGGGGCAGGGATTTTTGCTACCAGTTCTCCGAACCATCCACCTCCATCGCTACCAGATCGGGTGATCCGGTCCGAACTGGGAGCATTTCACCCCTGTGCATTGTGCCATAGAGACTACCTGTGCTTCTAACACAAAAATGAATCCATAGGTACCTCCAAGGAATACGGTTGATCTTTTAATGGGAATGCAACCTCATTCATAACAGAGTGAACTCTACTCACGTGGATGGATAAACCATCCTTTAACAGCACTTCTCTCTTCCATAGTTTGAGCCTCATCCAGTTCATTACATCAGACTGACATTGATTCAGCACTTCTACTGCCTTCTTTCAATCTGAAAGAATAGGGTGGACGTTATTACCATACTGATAACATTTTATTCTGAATTTCCAAATGATGTAACCAAGTAGTTTCCTGTTGGTTGATTTAAAAAAAAAAAATGCTAGAAAATATTATGTCTAAACTGCCCAATCTAGTATATATATTTTATTTATTTTTTTATAAAAATTTATAAACTTTATTAAAACACATATAAAACACATATAAAAACATTTACACAACAAACAACATGTAAATAAATTAAACTTTTGAAGCATTTGTTTCGTATTAGTTTTCCAACTAGTACGGTTATAGTTATTCCCCTTAATCTTACTCTGATAATTTTCTTTTTCGTTCCCCCCCTTACTTTCATCCCCTAAAAATTCCCCTTAGTAATCTATATAATATATATTGAGATTATATCTTTCTTTTTAAGTTTCCCTCTATAAATTTATCCGCCCGTAGGGAATTATTTGTATACATATTTACATTTCTATTCTATCTTTCTTCTAATTGTGTTTCTTCAATAGTGACGTTGTACCATTGGTACCATTTATCCCATATTTTATAGTACTCTGTCTCTTCTTTTTCCTTTAGCTCTTTTATTAGTCTATCCATTTCAGCGCACTGGGTAATTTTGTCCATTACTTCTTCTTTTGTTGGGATCTTTTCCTGTTTCCAGTTTTTGGCATAGGTTATCCGCGCTGCAGTTAGAATATGTATCAACAAGTATTTTATTTCTTTAGGGTATGTTTTTGTAAAGATTCCCAACAAAAAAGTTTCTGGCTTCTTGTCTATTTGTAGATTAGTAATTTGTTCCAGCCATTTCTTGATATTGGACCAAAATTTCTTTGCCGCCGGGCACATCCACCATAGATGGTAAAAGGTACCTTGTGAGTTTTTACATTTCCAACATAGTGGGCTATTTTTTGGATGGATTTTAGCCAGCCTTGTGGGCAACATATGCCACCTGTAAAACATCTTCAGATGGTTTTCCTTGTATGCCACCACTAATGTTACTTTCCTATTCAATTGCCAAAGCTCTTCCCATTTCTCCAGATCTATTGCATATTTAAAATTTTGCATCCATTTAATCATTGTATTCTTAACTGTTTCCTCCTCCATCTTATACCTCAACAAGAATTTATAAATTTTACTAATCAATTTCTCTTCTGAGTCTAATATAATTTTATCTAATTCTTGTTTTTCTTTATAAATTTCATATGTTTTTATATATTCCTTATGTTTGGATTGAATCTGTGAGAAGGACCACCAATCAATTTTTCTGTTTAGATCAGCTTCCAGTTGTTGTTTAGTTTTCAATTTCCCTTGATAGTCAATTAAATCTTTATATCTGATTATATTTTTGGGTTCTGTTAAATTTGGGTGTCTTATCGCTTCTGATGGTGAAAGCCAGATCGGGATTTTTGTGTAGTGTTGCTTTTTAATTTTGAGCCAGATTAATAATAATGGGTTCCTAATTGTGTGTCTCTTAAAATAAATATGTGTTTTATATTTTTCGTCCCATAGAAAGGAGTGCCAGCCCACTTGTAGGTCATGTCCTTCAATTGTTAATATTCTGCTGTTTTCCAGCTCCATCCAGTCTTTAATCCATGATAACACTGCCGCTTGATAATAAAGTTCCCAATCTGGAAGTGCTGTTCCTCCCCTCTCCTTGGTGTCCTGGAGTAGTTTAAGTTTTATTCGTGGTCGTTTCCCCTGCCATATGAATTTGGAAATCATCTTATTTAAAGTTTCAAAGAAGTTTTTCTCTAATTTTATTGGGACAACCTGGAACAGGTACAGCAATTTTGGTAGGGTATTCATTTTAATAGTGGAAATTCTTCCCATTAATGAAATCTGTAGGTTTTTCCAATTGTCCAAATCTTTTTGTATCTGTGTTATTAATTTATCATAGTTATTTTCTTTTATTGACGAGGTTCTTGGTGACATCCAGATCCCTAAATATTTTATTTTCTTTGTTGTTTGGATTTGTATACAATTCTCCAGTTCTGTCTCCTGAGTTTTCGTAAGATTTTTAACTATTAGTTTCTATTTATTTCTATTTATTTTTAGGCCGGGCACCTCTCCAAATTCCTCTATTTTCTTAAACAGTTTTGGCACTACTTCCAATGGCTCTTCCGTTATAAATACAAGGTCATCAGCAAAAGCCTGGACCTTGTATTCCTCTCGTCTTATTTTTAACCCTTTAATTTCTTGGTCTTCTCTAATTTTTTTTAACAGGCTCTCGAGTGTTAAAATATACAATAGTGGATAAAGTGGACAGCCTTTTGTTATATCGAATTGATTTGTCATATCGTCATTTAGTATTAGTTTTGCTGTTTGCTTTGTATATATTTGTCCTATAATTTTTTCAAGATTTGATCCAAATTGCATAATCTCTAATTGCCCTTTTAAAAATTTCCAATTTAAGTTGTCAAATGCTTTTTGGGCATCAAGGAAAACCAGTGAAGCTTGTTTCTCCGGGTGTGCTTCATAATATTCGAGTGCATTTATTATTACTTTCATATTGTTCTTGATTTGGCGGCCCGGCAGAAATCCATTTTGGTCCCGGTGAATGTAGTTATTCAGTACTTTTTTGATTCTTTCCGCTATAATTATTGCAAATACTTTATAATCCGTATTCAATAGAGATATTGGTCTATAATTTTGAATTAATTGGTGATCAGTATCGTCTTTGGGTATGATTGTAATTATTGCTTCCGTCCAGGATAGTGGGATTTTTGTCTTCTCTAGCACTTTGTTATATAACTCCAGCATGGTCTCTCCTATTATTTCTTGTACCATTTTATATAATTCCACCAGAAGGCCATCTGGGCCCAGCGTTTTATTATTTTTTTGCTTTTTCAGTGCAGCATCCAATTCCATCTCAGTTACTGAGTTGTCAGTTATATATAGTATATATATTTTAATTAATAGGATTTAACATGTTGATTGGAGATGAAGGGCCAAAAAATTGAGAACAGGCTAGAGGTTATTTTAGAGGTACATTTTCCAAACAATACAATTCAGAACTTCTATATTTTGTAGACAAAATGCTTCATATGTACAGTACCTATCATGAACCAATGGTATCAAATCAGAAATAGCAACTAACTCAGGGATGCATTCTTAAATCTTAATGCAACAATTACTATATTAATGGCAAGATTAATAACATCTGGTCTGCTTATTTTTTTATGGCTGGAACATGTGAAGGTTTCTGCCAACACATTCAGGATTCTATATGAACAATGAGTCACCCATGCACCCTGGTATCTGATGTCCAGAAAATCCTTACTTTCCATTGTTTGACCATCCAGGTTGGCTTGAGATTCTAAACATACCTTTTTTTTTTTTACATTGTGTTCTCCTAGATTCCTGAAACCTTTAACTTAATTATAATAGTGGTAGCTGTTATGACAAAATTAATGGAAGGTATCCATCAAGCTTATGTCAATGTATGCCCTTCTCCCCAAGGGTGTAACATTGTCTTGTTCAAGCCATTAATAATACAAATCTCTTGTTAAAACATTTATTTGTCCAAATGTTAATTCCATAACTTTTCATATAAATGAAACTAAAACAGCACAAGTTTATAAGTTTCAATATATTAGCTAAAAAGATGTAAACTGTCTTATTGTTGCTTTTTCTTTGAGTCAGTTATATTAATTTAGTGTAGGCAAGGGGCATGTGGGAGTTGCTAAAACTTTCATATAAATGAGACTAAAACAGCACAAGTTTATAAGTTTCAATGTATTAGCTAAAAAGATATAAACTGTCTTATTGTTGCTTTTTCTTTGAGTCAGTTATATTAGTTTAGTGCAGGCAAGGGACATGTGGGAGTTGCTAAAACTTTGGAGAGAAGATTCCAGCTCATTTCTATCATGTTAAATTGGGCTACATGGCAGACTACATATCCATGAAAAGATTTCTAAATGTTTAGTTTTTCTTCCATGAAAAAAAAAACTGATAAAAACTATCATGTATGAAATATGCAGATGCATTTTTAACATCAATCTTTTTTCAGAGAAATGAAATGTCCTGCTCTAGTAAATCAATAATTACAAAGAGTATTTTACAGGATAATCCTAATCCACAAATCAATGTAAGTAGCAGTTGTTATAATTATTGATTAATGTTATTATTTCCATCTGCACTGTGAATCTCAGATCAATGTAACTAGGGGGGAAAAAGAATTCTATAAACTACCAAAATCCATATGTACATATTAGATTAGAATTGGAAAGGGGTTATGCTGGAAGTAGTAACAACTACTTTCCAAAGACTACCTAGTAAACATGACAGGGATTGGGAACTTCATCCTAAAATTCTTACAACGACTCTCATGTCTCTTTGTTATGTAGTAAACTGATATCTTCAAATGTTAATGATAAATAATCTCATAAAACTATGAGGAGAATATCTTTTAAGAAATTGTCCTACCCAAGAGATTCTTGGCTGAAGCCATGGAGTTCCTCAAGCACAATGTACAAATAGCATGAGGTATTTGAGAACAAAGATGGGCATTTGAATATTGAAAAGACTGAGGGAAGCCCCATCTCCTTTCTTGCATTAGTTCATGACAACCAGAACAAGGTCTGTTTTGAATTAATCACTCCAACCTGAGGACAAAATGTAAAATGCAAAATTAATACACATACCTTATCCAAAATATTTTTAAAAACTGCATAGAAAGGGGAAATCAAATCTTCTTTACCCCTATGGCAAATCAAGCAACCCAAAGCAGGGAAAAAGAAAAGAAAAGAAATATGATATAAAGAAGGAAAAGGAAAGGAAAAGGCACTACAAGAGCTAATACTGTGAAGTGATTAAAATTAATAATTTGATTATAAAACTAAATGAGAATAAATGGTTCAGAGTCATATGGTGAGATGTTTTTTGAAGTTAGATCTTCCAGATGCTGTTGGGGTCTGTTTTATATGCCAATCTTCCTCTACAAAGTTTGCTACAGCTTGGAACATATTCAGTGTGCTTTTATTTGAACTGAATATGGCCTGCTGAGAAAATTCCAAGTCCAATGTCCATCTTCAACTATCCAAGTTGAGTTTACATATCATACCAAGCCTATATCCATGTCATTATCTAACATGGGCCCTGTCTAACAAAATGAAATTCAATGTAGATAATAGTAAGTTTCTATATTTTTTACAACAGTTTTTTTACAAAAGGTTTTTCTTTACAAAAAGTTTTTTAAAGTAAAGTTTTACACTTAAGCAAGAAAGACCAACTATATAGGAACAGACTAGGTGAAACTTGACTTAATGCCAGTAACTGAGAGGAGTCCTAGCAGACAATCACCTAAAGCAGTGTACTGTAGTTGCCCAAAAAGCCAATGCAATCTAGGCTGCATTAATAGAGGGTTAGAGAATCAAGATCATGTGAAGTTCTAGTACCGCTTTACAAAGTCTTAGCAAGACCACATATGGAATACTGAAACCAGTTCTGGTCACCACAATATAAAAAAGCAAACTGGGAAGACTGCAGAGAAGAGCAACAAGAATGATTAGGGGACTGGAAGCTAAAATATACGAAGAAGGGTTACAGGAATTGGGTATGTCTAACCTAATGAAAAGAAGGACTACGGTGATATGATAGCAGTGTTCTAATATTTGAGGGGCTCCTACAAAGATGAGTGAGTCAATTATTTTCCAAAGCACCAAAAGACAAGACAAGACAAGCAAAAAATAGATGAAAACTAACCAAGGAGAGAAGCAACCTAGAACTAAGGAGAAAATTCCTAACGGTGAGAGCAATCAATCAATGGAACAGCTTGCCTTCAGAAGTTCTGGGTGCTCCATTACTGGAAGCTTTCAAAAAAAGACTGGAAAACCATTTGTCTGAAATGGTATAGGCCAGGGTTTCCTGCTTGAGAAGGGGGTTGAACTAGAAGATCTCCAAAGTCCCTTCCAACTCTATTATTTTATGTTCTATGTTTATATTTCACACAATTTTCTTTTATTCAGGAGCGTTTAATATTTCCATGACTACCATGTAAACTAATATTTATATGTCTGTGTGTATGTTTACACATAGTTTATATGCTAGTTAATTAGGGTACAAACTGAAAATATAAGTGCTCCTGGAAAAAAAAGGAAGTCAAGTGAAATATAAACATGGATATTCTTTATTCCCTCCAAATTGTTGCTTTGACCCTTACCATCCGTTCCACAGCTTCTAGATGCTACCCCAAACTGGGAAAATATCGTTATGGAGACAAAGAATAAAATTCTCGCTTGTTTTCAGAATTTGTTCTTCTCAGACAGTTTTCATTTCTTTTATGTTAGCTTGTCACACATCCTGCCATTCAAGATGTGCCGTGTGCCAGATTCTATATCACCCATAATTAACACCAGGGCTTCCCTTATTGTGGGTACCAGCTAATTATACTGGGTCATCACTTCTCTGACAGAGGCAGAGAAGTTGTGGCTAGCAGCATCTGTGTTTCCTCACTTCTGAGACTATCTAGGATATTATCATTATTCCTACTGCTCTTGCTCCTTTATTCATTTAAAGTTGAGCCACCTCATGATGAAAGGTATCTTTTAATCCAGCTCTTCACTATTTTATTATTATTATCTCTATTATTCATTAATATGAAACTCAGTCAACTGAACATTTAAAAATGTGTCACAAATACGATTGACTGGTGCTAATGGTTGATATGGGTTGCTGCCAGCGTCCTAGGTATCAACCAAGTATCTTCTTAAAATATATGATGTTCTGAGTAGTGCAGTTTTTTGTAGTTCCGCTGATGTTATTGCAGGAAGCTGCAATTTCTTGATATGTTTTGTAAAATTCTTGGATGTGGTACACCGATGACAATGGGTATCACTGTTACATGTTTCATCCATAGCCGTGTAGTTTCAATGGCCAGGTCGAGATATTTTGTGATTTTTTCCAGTTCTTTTTCTTTGACTCCAGCGTCTCCTGGTTCAGCAATATCAATAAATTGTATGCTTTGGTTTTCGACAACTGTGATATCTGGCATGTTGTGTTCCAAATGACGATCTATCTGTATTAGAAAGTCCCACAAGATATTCACCTTCTCATTTTTGACAACTTTTTCCACTTTATGTTCCCATGACTTTTTGGATACAGGTAAATCGTATTTTTTACATAATGACCAGTGGATTAATTTAGCAATTTGGTCATATCTAGCTTTGTAATCAGTTTGTGCGATTTTGCTGCACTCACATATTAAATGTGAAACAGTTTCAACTTTGTCATTGCAAAGTCGGCAGTTTGGATTGTCAATGGATTTTTGTATCTTTGCTTTCATGACATTAGTTTGTAGTGCTTGTTCTTGAGCAGCAAGTATTAAAACTTCCATTTCTTTCTTGATGGTTCCCATCTTAAGCCATGCCCATGTCAAGTTGTTATCACATTTTCCTTCAATGTTTTTCAAGTGGTGTCCATGTAAAGCTTTGGTTTTCCATCCATTTGTTCTGTCATCCAGCTGTTTTTCCTTATATTCTGTCTTTGTTTCTATTGTTTTAATCATTTTCTCCATTTTCACAGCCTGTAGCAATTTTTCTGTACTTTGAAGTTCAGTAGGGCTTTTTACATACATTTTTATGTCATCCATATATAGTAGATAGTTTATCTTGCCATGGTGGCTTGAGATTCTGTATCCCAGTTTTTGTTTTGTAGGATTATTGCAGGCTATTTCTGCTGAGTGCCAGCTGACTGCAATTTGGCAATTCGAATCTCACCAGGCTCAAGGTTGACTCAGCCTTCCATCCTTCCAAGGTCGGTAAAATGAGGACCCAGATTGTTGGGGGCAATATGCTGACTCTGTAAACCACTTAGGGCTGGAAAGCACTGGAAAGCAGTATATAAGTCTAAGTGCTCCTGTTGCTTGTTTCTGATTGGATGCCATCACTTACAGTGTGTGCACCTGGAAACAACTAAGGATCAAGTCATTGCACCCAAACTATGTTGTAACGTGGCCAAATGGTCTTGGGAACCTAAGAACATTAAGATTATAATGGCCACTGTGGCCTCTTTTTCTGAATTACAATATCCATTCACCTCAGTGCTTTACCTAGGAATGTTGTCCCATTTCTTGACAATTCATTTATAAGAAAGTTAATGTGTGAATCAGCACAGTCATATCCAACCAGATCAATACTGGCGGATGAACCGCAGAAATAAAACAGCAGTTTTATTATCTGTTATCCAACAGGAGCCCCGTGTATATTTCTACTGTAGACATCCTACTGTGTTGGATAATATGGGATCGTGTTATTTTTCCTGATACATATCTTACTATAATATGTGACATGGAACCATTACATTAATATGCATATACACCTATCAGCTGTATATGTCCCATTCCTTCAAATTTTCCTCTTGAGAACAAAATATGTATTAAGGACTATTTTCCCCCCTGCTCTTTCTCTCTGAGACACAAAGCAATTTTCCTTCAGAATAACAGTAGTGATAGCAACAGAAATCGAAGCTTAATTCCACAGTTCAACCAAATGACAGAAAGACAGTATAGCTGCGCTACATGGCTAACATTATGAGCTGGATAGATTCAAATTCTGCTCACGTGTTACCAGATATGCTCATTTACATACATGCATTCTGATTATAGACCTATAAATTGAATTCATGTATAGATACAATGATCAATGATCCATTTTTTTTTCCAGAACTAAGGAAAAAAGGATTTAATGGCAGGTTAGTGGGAGACCCAAACAGGATTGGAAGCACATTCCAGATCAGTAGTACTTGTAGTTATATCAATTAAAAAAAATATTATCTTAAACACTGTTCCTTTATCTTAACACATGTATTTATATCCATATTTTGGTTGTTTAGACAAATGACAGACAATAAGTATCACATTTCCATTTCACAGGAAGACAGGAAACAAAACAAAGCCCTTCTCTGTTTTGATTCTTTAGCGAGTATAATCTTAGAAAACAGGAAGCAAATGAAAAACATCTTAAGATACAAAACCTGTAATTTGGTTATATAAAATATTATTTGCATCTTATCTTGAGGATTGATAGTCTAACGTGGTTAAAAAAAAGATATGTATATGGGCCTTCCAATTGGGATTATCATTTGTATTTTTAGAGGTGCATTTACTTTATTTTTTTATTTTTTAAAAAACACCAAATACTTAATACAATCTGCAAACCAATCAGAGCTTATTTTTCATTGCTGTACACGTTTGATAAAATCAGTTAATCAATTAAATGTTGCTAACCTAATTAGTTTTGAGATTGCTTGATCACGCCCATGATGGACTGCCTTTGTAACTGAAACTATAGGGCATTATCTCCCAACCAGTTAATTGGGTTCTCCTCAAAACATATGAGAATTGTCAAAAGATTGATCTAGAGCAGAAGAAATCACATATGCGTCCTAGACAGGCAATATTCCCTATCTTCATTGTATCCTTAATTTCTATTCCTTTGTCTATGACTGAATAATCTCAGGCCTTCTTCATGTATTTATTTATTTTATTTATCTGTCAAATATGTACATGATGACAAGTATAGGTATGAACATAAACAAAGGAAGTAAATACAAATAAATGGGGAGAGTAAGGCAGGGACGGTAGGCATGCTGGTGCATTTATGCACAC